GCAATCTCTAGAAAAGCTGAAGAGAAAAGCAAGGCGTACCTTCCTAGACTACCCATGTTCACGATTTAGTCACTGAGATCTCAGCACCCCAAACACTAATGGCTTCGTTGTTCTGGCAGTTTTGAAAGAAGTAATCTCTGCATCCAATGTGGGGCTAGAACTCATGACCCCACGATCGAGCTGGATGCTCCTCCGACTGAGCCAGTCAGGCGCCCCTATTTCAGCAGTCCTTAAACTGTGATCTGCAAGCCCTTGGGGGCACTGGGACCATTTCGGGGACACAGCCATATAACCAAGGAGATTGGAGTCCTTCTTGTGTTGACAAGTACACTGATGCGTTATGAGCAATGTTAAGTCTTAGCAACAATTTTCCTGGTTACTGTAACATGTTTCAGCAGTGTAGTTATTAAAAAGCCAATTTCACCTAAGAATGTCCTTGATACAGTAAAAATAATTTTATTAAGTCTCAACCACCAAGTGCATATTGTGTGATGACACACAAAGTATGCATGAAAGATTGCTGCTGCACAGCCAAGTACAAAGGTTGTCTCCAGGAAAAGCCTTGTCTGGTTGTGCTACAATGTAACTAGTTGCTCTTTTCTGGAAACATTTTTACTTGAAAGCATGATTAGGAAAGTAGTCACCAAGACCTGGGTGTTTGGTAGGTAGATTTTGTAGAATTTCACCAAGTAGCCAGCCTGTGGCTTCAAGGGAAACAATGGACAGTATTTGTGTCTAATGATAACATTTGAGCTTGAAAGCAGAAACTACAATTCCCAAACTTGTAGCCACCCCCATGCAAAGTTTCCAGCTTTGAACTTTTAGGAGATTGTTTTTTTTTTTAATTTATTTATTTATTCATGAGAGACACACACAGAGAGAGAGAGAGGCAGAGACACAGGCAGAGGGAGAAGCAGGCTCCATGCAGGGAGCCTGATGCGGGACTCGATCCCGGGTCTCTAGGATCACACCCCAGGCTGCAGGCGGCACTAAACCGCTGCGCCACCAGGGCTGCCCTAGGAGATTGTTAATGATATTAAGGTGTTTTTTAATAGAATGTTTCAACATTTGGAAGATGTGCAGAACTCAGTTAAAGAATATTTTCTAAATAGTTAATGCAAGATGTTACACAATCCTGCATGGGCTAGAGGCCCATTCGGTGGCCAAAATAAACAGATTGAATAACTGGGTATAAGAAATCCATCGGTATGGTTCTGACTCAACACTGCAACTAAAACACTGAAGAAACTATCTCTGTAGAGTTTTGGTGTGGCATCAGATATCCACAATTAACTGCAAAGGCTATGAAAATACCCTCCCCCGTCTCAATTACTGATCTGTATGAGGCCAGATTTTTTTTACATGCTTCAATCAAAACATTTATTTAAACTTTCTTTCTCTTTGAAATGTTTTGTAAGTTTTCATTGTAGATATCTTGAAATTTTCAAGTATAGTTAATGTACAGTATTATGTTAGTTTTGGGTGTACTACTATTATGTAGTTTTGTAGTGATTCAGCTGTTCTATGCATTTCTTAGTGCTCATCATGATAAGTGTATCCCCTTCATCTGTCTTACCGTCCCCCACCCACCTCCCCTCTGGTGACCACCAGCTTGTTCTCTGTATTTAAGTCTGTTTTTGGTTTGTCTCTTTCTGTTTGTCTTGTGTCTTAAATTCTACATATAAGTGAAGTCATACGGTATCTGTCTCTCTCAGACTTATTTCACTTAGCATTATACCCTCTAGATCTATCTATGTTGTTGCAAATGGCAAGAGTGCCATTCTTTATGGCTGAGTTATAGTTCATCATATATATACAACAACTTCTTTATTCATCAGTCGACGGACACTCAGGTTGCTCTTATAGTTTGGCTATTGTAAATCATGCTGCAAAAAACAGGAGTACATGTATCCTTTTGGATTAGTGTTTTCATTTCCTTTGGGCAAATATCCAGTAGTGGAATTACTGGATCATAGGGTGGTTCTATTTTATTTTTAAAAAATATTTATTTATTCATGAGAGATAGAGAGAGAGGCAGAGACATAGGCAGAGGGAGAGGCAGGCTTCCTGTGGGGAGCATGATGTGGGACTCGATCCTGGGACCCTGGGATCACGACCTGAACCGAAGGCAGATGCTCAACCACTGAGCCATCCAGGTGCCTGGGTAGTTCTATTTTTAATTGAAGAACCTCCATAATATTTTCACAGTGGGTGCACCAATTTGCATTCATACCAACATGCAAGAGAGTTCCCCTTTCTCCACAGCCTCACCAACACCTGCTGTTTCTTGTGTTTCTTTATTTTAGCTACTCTGACAGGTGTGAGGGGATACCTCATTGTGGTTTTGATTTACATTTCCTTGATGATGAGTAATGATGAACATCTTTTCATGTGTCTGTTGGCCAGGTGTGTTTTCTTTGGAAAACTATTTGGGTCCTCTGCACCCCCCCCTTTTTTTTAATTGGAGTTCAATTTGCCAACATATCCTCTGCCCATCTTTATTTTTTATTTATTTAATTTTATTTATTTTTATTGGAGTTCAATTTGCCAACATAAAGCATAACATCCAGTGCTCATCCCATCAAGTGCCCCCCTCAGTGCCCGTCACGATGCCCATCTTTAATTAGATTATTTTTGTTTTGTTTTTGGTGTTGAGGTGTATAAGTTCTTTATATATTTTGGATACTGATTCCTTATCAAAATATATCAGTTGCAAATATCTTCTCCCATTCAGTAGGTTGCCCTTTGTTTTGTGGTGGCTTCCTTTGCTATGCTAAAGCTTTTTATTTTGGTGTAGTCCTAATAGTTTAATTTTGCTTTTGTTTCCCCCTGCCTGAGGAGACATACCTAGAAAAATGTTTCCATGGCCAATGTCAAAGAAATCACCACCTTTGTTTTCTTCCAGGAGTTTTATTATTTCAGGTCTCAGATTCAGGTCTTTAATCCATTCTGAGTTTATTTTTGTGTATGCTGGAAAAAAGTATTCCAGTTTTTCCCAACACCATTATTTGAAGTGACTTTTCCCCATTGTATATTCTTGCCTCCTCTGTTGGTAGATAACATAAGCATGGGTCCATTTCTGGGTTCTCTATACTGTTCCATTGATCTGTGTCTATTTTTGTACCAGTACCATATTATTTTGATGACTACAGCTCTGTAGTATACCTTGAAATTTGGGATTGTGATATTCTTAGTTTTGTTCTTTTTAAGATTATGTCAGCGATTTGAAATTTTTTCTGATTCCATACAAATTTTAGTATTATTTGTTCTAGTTCTGTGAAAAATGCTGTTAGTATTTTGATAGGGATTGCATTAAATCCATTGATTGCTTTGTGTAGTATGGACATTTTAGCAAGATTTGTCCTTCTGATCCACCAGCATGGAATGTCTTTACATTTGTGTCATCTTCAATTTCTTTCATCACCATTTTATAGTTTTCAGAGTAAAGAGCTTTCATCTCCTTGGTTAAGTTTATTCCTAGGTACTTTATTATTTTTGGTGCAATTGTAAATTAGATTACTAAATTTCTCTTTTGCTACTCCATTAGTGTATAAAAGTGCAACAGATTTCTGCATACTAATTTTGTATCCTGAAGCTTTACTGAATTCATTCATCAGTTCTAATAGTTTTTTTGGTGGAGTCTTTAGGGTTTTCTCTATGTAGTATCATGTCATCTGCAAATAGGTTTTCTCAACCCCCAAAACATTTAAACTTTCTCTCTTAACCGTTTTGCAGTTTTCAGTGTAGAGGTTTGGAACATCTTTTAAGGTATATTCCTAGGTATATTATGGCTTTGGTGTTACTGTCAATGAATGGACTTTTTAAAGGTTAATTTTCCAATTGTTTGCCACTACTTTTTAAGTATACAAGCACCTAAAAGGTTAAGACCAAAAAAGTTAAGAACCAGGAAACTATTAAAATAGTTTAGGATGCCCTTAATTTATCACTGCACAATAGAATTCTACTTTAACAATTTCCTTATGATCTCTAAATGGGAATGTAATGTGCTCATATCAAAGGCCTCTGAACAAGACTAGCAAACTGTGCATTCATCACCATCAAGTGTGGCTGTTGCTCTAATCTAGGTTCTATATGGCAGGTTTATCCTGAGTAGCAGTCATTATTCTATCCAACAACTCCCAAGACTAAATGAATGTCTGATCCTTAGTGCATCTTAAGAGATTCCTGTAACGTTTCTTGGCAAATATTAACTCACTATGCAGTCTCTGAAATACATTCAAGACTAGTCCAAGCAGGAGATGGCACCGAGTCTCATCTCTCTTGCAGACTAGAGCAACTTGTGTGGCTTCTCAGAGCAGTTTCTCAGAAAGGTGGCCGAGGCCATCTGGGTTCAGAGCTCGATTACTGATGCCTCTTATGGGCACGGATTAGGTGGCAGTGACACGGCAACAAGTGTATTCAGGCTTCTGTTTTCAGTCTCTAGTACTTTCTGTGACACTTCCAAAGCCTAATATTCCCTCATTTTGGTCTGTTAAGCTTTATAATAAGTTTTGCCTAAAGAATCTAGTGCTTTAAATAACATACGAAGGCATGCCAGAATGAGTCTTTTGTTGCCATTTACTAACCATAACTTACAGTTTTAAAAGTCTTACGTTCAGCAGTGTCTGCTGGCCCAAAGTTTAGTAAATTATGGCTGTTGACATTTATGAAAATAGGCATGTAGGGACAATGCTGCTAGCTGAGAGCAGTTTATACCCCCCAAGAGAAAAGTATCCATAGGACTAGAGTATGTATATTAATAAATCAAAAGTGACCAGAAATTACAGGGGCAGTGCCTGTGTCTCTGCCTCTCTGTATCATAAATAAATAAATAAATAAATAAATAAATAAATAAATAAATAACAGGGGCAGGATCAGAGGAGTAAAGTAAAATCTTACAAGTAAAATAACAGGCAATACTCCACTTGTACCTCCCTTCCTGCCCCTGCATGGACACTCCTACCTCCTATCCTGGAAAGAAAGCACAGCCTGGGCACAAATCGAGTGTGAGACTTTTTTAATTCAATTTGTAAAGTACAGTTTAAAAACACATGTTAGTAGCACTCAGAACATTGGCTTGTTCATTTGACATTTTCTCTATCTTCACCAATTTTTATTACAAAAATCAGAAAAGTAAAAATTCATTACAATATTTGCACAGTGTAACCACTAGTTGCCTAAACAAAAGCTAATTTCTATAAAATCATAAACTTAGTGCAGTTTTATTAAGAGAGATCCAAAATTCTCTCAGTGGACTGGATATACATAGTGGTATACATTTTAAAGCAGAAAACCCCAAAAAACAAAAACAAGGAAAAGAAGAAAATATAAGTCAAAATAGTCAGTTAAATATTCTGACCCAATAGTTCCTACAAGTAGTAATTTCCACTACATATAAGGGAAACCATTATCTGTGGTAAAAACCGTAGAGACAAAGCAAGAAATGTGGAATAAAATCACGACAAGCTGGAAGTCAGTCCCAGGTGGCATATGTTTTCAATGAAACCCAGGGCGGGGAGCTACATCATTCCAGGGGCCACTTGTACCCCCACACCATCATGTGGGCCGGGAGATAAGACTTCACTGCACAGCAAGTTGCAAAGTGTCAATGAAAAGATTTTGAAAAAGACAAATGTTCTTTTTGTCAAGAAATCTTTGTAAGGCTATACTTTGCATAGGGAGATAGCTGTCTTCTGTCATAAAGCCTACAGGACAAAGTAAAAGCAAGCTTTTCAAAATGACTACGTGCAAGGAGTTGAATCTGCAGGCACCTCGCTTACTGCCTCTAATTTATCTTTATCTGATGCAATTCTACTTGACAAAAGGAGAAACGACATTTTGTGGTGATGGTATTCTAAAGAGAACACTGAAGCTGGCAGCCAAAAGAATTTGGAAAGAGGCTCGCCATCTCATAGAAGAAACACCTGTGCAGGAACAGCCCTACTTGTGCATACCACAGGACTCTCAAGGAACTTTTCAAATAAAAGCTTACTTTTCCAGAAAGCTTAAGTATAAAAAAAGTAGTACAAGTTGTGGCATTCCCTCAAATTGATGCTACATGAGTATTCTGAGTTGGCTACAGGAGGGAGGAGTGTGTCCAGACCCAGCCAGGCCATCCATCTCTACGAGCCATGGTAGAGGTGCATGGCCCCCAGGATGGCACTGCCATGTCTCTCTATGCCTTTGACGGAGCTGGGCTGCTCCACCACACTATGAAGCTCAGGGATGCTTTCAGCAGTGTCCCCAAACCCATGGTAATGCCCGTAGTGCAGATTCTCCTCAATGTCCTCCACCCAGGAAGGTCTACTAGCTACGCAGCTACTGGGGCTCCCATTCAGGTGCAGAGAGCCGCACATCTCGGCGTTAGCACTCATGGTCTTTTCTGGTTCCTCGGTACCGTTAACACAAACAGAACCCTGGCTACTTGGAAAAGGCCGTCCTGGAACTAATCCATTGCTAATTCCATTAGATTCTGATAAGCACTGGTCATTCGGGCTCTCCGTTGCATTGAGCTGTGTCGCAGAGGGGAAGTCCAAATGTCCACTGATGACACATCCATTTGTCAGTGTATCCGACATGGAGCTACTGTTTTTCATATCTGCATTAAGAAATACACCTGTCACCAAAATTCAGAACCAGAGGGGGAAGAGAGACTAATGTTTCATCGCTGCTACAATTTTAAAGGATTTATTTAGCTTCTCTTGTTTTTTGTTTTTTTAAGCAAACCAGTTCCTTTTCTGGAAGTAAAAAACTGTGCATAGGCAGATTTAAAAATAGAACCCAACAGCAGCATTTGCCCCGTAAGACAGGAAACATTTATGACTTTCAGGAGCACCTAAGCTGACAACTATGCGGCGTGAAAAATACCAACAGTCCCAGAAAGCTGTCAGAAAAAACTGAAGAGCAAAAAAGTGCTCTCCTCTTAAGACTATGTTCAGGAAGAAGTTTTAAAAATCACCCATGAAAAAGTCCAGCAGAACAAAGTGTGAGGTCTTCCATAGAGTTAAGATAAAAAACCCCACACCTCTCCAGCTCTTAAGAAAAGGGAGAAGGATAGGTAGCCCCTGACGCGGGGTCCGGGGAGGCACGTGGACGCCGAAGTTCAGCTTTTAGCGGCATTCGTGCGGCCCGGCTGGGAGCCCTATGCCTTCTCACGCGGGCCGCCTGGGGCCAGCAGCACAATGGCACCAGCTCTGGGACAGTCTTCTGAGTTTGCAAGGACAGTGACTACGATGTCCGAGGCGCACCTGATTAGGCTACATTAAAAATCACTTATGTTGGAAAAATGTTGCTTGTTTAATCTGTGTTATGTGGACATCCGTCAAGAGGAGGATGTCTTATGGGGGGAAGAAAGGGGTGATCACAACACACCTGGGCCCATGGAGACAGCGATCACAAGGTATCTTTCTGTATAAGGAAACTTGGGGTTCACTATTCATGTTCACAGGAATTCACACAACAGTACAAAGGATGATTGAGAATTATGTCTTGCTTGGTAATACGGAATTTTATCTCATGTTCTGCGCTGTTAAAGCAAGGTATGATATTAAATACGGAAGAGGGAGTCCCACGACTGATGAAATGAGGACATGTTTCTGCACCCCAATCACCCTGACACACAGTGTGGCCCTCCCCCGGAAGGGCTTACTTTCCGCGTCACCATCTATGTGCCTCTGATTTGCACTTGGACATAGGTTTCTGTGTGTCCCGCAAATCTTCCTGCCAACAAAAAATCACGGCTTGTTCAATGAACAAAAACACCTTCTACACATTCCATTAATCATCCATTTTTCTGTCAACTTAAGTGATAATCATAGTTTAATAGCTGCTATAAATTCTTCAGAGGATAAGGGATTATTTTTTTTTCCAAATTAAAGGACAGCTCTTCTATTGAGTTAAAATTCAAGGCTCGAGAACAAGTAGTTCAAGAACCAAACATGAAGCAGAATAGAAAAGAAACACGTATATCAATTTTTTCTCAAAAATAAAGCATCAACAATGTATCCTGGGTGGTAAAATTCATAACTGTGATGGCAACTTTGACAGTTATTAAGACAAATAATCATATACTATTAATAGACATGGAAATGACATTCCCAGAGGATTGGACCTGGAAAGGTCCAGGAGCATGGCCTCAGGAACCGGAGTTACCTAGACTCCGTTTCCATTTCGCTTTCACTGTGTGTGTTTGTGTGAGTGTGGTTTCTCATTAGTGCTCATTAGTGCTCAGGGGTGTGAGCTAGTGTTGTTACGTAATCTCAAAATCAAGGCTATTTGATAACCTCATGTTGTTATGGAAAAATTTAATAAGACTGAGCATGAGAATGGCGGGCATCCTAGAGACTGGCTATGCCATGACCCCACCTGGCTGGGACTGCGACCTGCCGGCTGCCTCCAGCACCATCCTCATTCCTGGCCCCAGGTGCCGGCAGGGCCCATGCTCCTGTGCACCACCTGCCCCCAGGAGTTTAGCACATTTTTTGCACACAGGCGGACAGTATTGTACATGACGTGACAGGAAATGTGGTACCTCTTATACAGGATGAGCTGGGCTTGAAATAAAAGTGTGGCCTTTTCAATGTGATGTCCAAGCTCACTATTAAATTTAGCCTGAAAACACAGGGAATGCTTGAAGATTAAAGAATGATTACTTCTGCCTTTTTAAAAGCAGGTAGCAATGTCGTGTATTTTTGAAAAGCTTTGAGTTTTATCACTGGTCTTTAGCCAAAATCTTTAAATGTACTATCTAATCAGAATTTCCCTTAGAAAACCTACCATTGAATTATTTGGCAAAAAGACAACTCCACCTGTAACAACCCTGTAGCTTCTAGAAAGATGTACACATTTTCCTTTCATTTTAGTAAACAGAATGATTTTTTCATGTATGTCTGGGAAACATGACGCATAATCTCTTATCCCAGTGAAGAATTTAGCATAGAGACATTATAATAAAACCTTAAAAAAACCCAGTACCTATTTCTATATATATTAACACAGTAAGAAAATGGCTAAGATGTTTTCGCGGTCACCTAAAGAAAAGAATGACAGAGAAAAGTGTTAACTGAAAGGAAAAGTCTTCAGAGATTCTAAACGCTAAGAGAAACAGAGCCTTTGACTTTCAACACTGAAGATGACTACCAGCTGTTTGAGTATATGAACACTTCGAGCATGTAAAACGTGTCTCGTGAGACGCGGTGCTCCGCGTTCGGCCAGACTCGGAGCCGATGCCTCAGAAACCACAGAGACCGGGAGGGCGTGCGAGAGGCTCCACGCAGACGAGACTGGCCACGTGTCAGGACTACAGCACTCCCCAGTCCTCCGGGCCTGCAGCAAGTCATCCTTCTTGCTGCGCGCCACGCTGGAACTCCCAGCAGGAGAGGTCTCTCTGGTGTATTCACCCAAAGGTCACATGTCAGAAAAGTAAGCATGCGAAACCTCATTGAAATTAAACAAGGCACGTTAAGCAGAAGCTTCAAACCAAAATAGGAAGATTGCACTTCAACTTTTCATATTTATAGAATACACCCAAAACACATATCACTGTATCTACAAACTTGCCCACGATATGCAAACCGTAGTATGACATTCTTTAAAACGCCGACAGCAGTGCAAACGTCGGGAGAGCTTATGTTAGAAATAATACGCATACTGGTTCTTGCAACGACAAGGGGTCTGCATTGCCGAAACAGTATATATTTCTATTTCTTTGGGTCCAACAGAACCCCCCTCCTGCCGTTTGGCGTCTTCGACCATGGGGCTGCCGTGGCTAACAGAGAACTGTCCACTCCCACCTGTGACAGCAGCAAACTCTCTGTCGACCAGCATTTTGTCAGCTTCATCTTCCACATCGCTGTTCCCCAGCGGCATGCAGGGACCCAGACTCTGAGCTGCATAGAACACAAAGGCAAGTTTAGACCCCGGCACCCACAAGCTTTTAAGACAGCCGATTGTCACTCCTTTCTCCTCAGGAGCAACTAATGCTCCTGAACCATCAAGACACCTTAATAATCAGATTACTAACACATTAAGTACACTCCCAGAAAACATACTTTCCACAATAAAACATACTTCCTGAAGCGTGCAGTTTCAATGAGAAGTCATGGGATTTTGGACACTTATACTTGATGGCACAAATTCTCCTTTATGGTTGTTCCTTGGACAAAATAACACAGACAACCCAGAGAGGTTTCTAAATATGATTTTAGGTTCAGAGTACTCTGTTATGCGCCCAAATGTTCCTTCAGTTGTTTCTCGTAAAGAAATAATAATACAATTCCTGAATTACATGAATACCATTAAAACTATCCTCAAATTAAAAAAAAAACACTAACTTCAGTAGCAGAAAATAAGGTAAAAGCCAAGACTCAATGCTGTCCTGGAGAGGTGCAGGCCCGTGTACCAAGGGATGATAACTCTGGAAACAAGCATTAAAGTCTTCGTTCTGAGGTCTTTAGAGTTGAGGTTGTATTTTCACATTCCTCAAAATATGATCATTTTTTATGAATGTTACAGAAAAGCAAACATGCACATTTAATCCTTCCTGCAAGAATCACATTCGCTGTGTGGAAACATGACCCTGTGCACTTTTCTTAGGAATCTCCCCTTCTCCGAGCAGCCACTCCCACTTGACACAGAGCTTTCTAGTTTTAATAAGCATACGCTATCACAAAAATGGACTCCCACATCATGTCCATGTCTTGCTTTTCTTCATCTACCATGGCATGAATGCAGCGTGTCAGCTAAGTTCAAAAGAATCTTTTAAGTTGACTAATAATCCACCGTATGGCTGCATTATAACTTACCCCCACAAAACTCCCCACCACGGTCTGGCTTTTCTTTCCCATCATGAATATTATAATCAACATTCTTATAAACACACCTTTCTGTACATTTCCGGTTCTTTACTCAGCTCAGATAAATACTGAGAATTATTTCTGGGTCAAGGGATATATAGAACACAAATAACAACTTTCAGTGCTATATCTTTCCAATAAACATTTAAAAACAGACATGAACTCTGCAGCTTTAATTACTTCTAATTTTAGAGGCACGAGTTATTTTCGATATACGTAAGAGGAATGAGTGTGCCAGCTCCAGACTATTACTAAGCCTCACCCCAAACTACTGAGACCAAAGCTAATAATGTATGGTCTTAATGAAAGAGAAGCACAAATTCTGGATTAGTATGTGGGAGAAACAGAAACAGGCTGGTGTGATTCATGTAGCTGGTCTGCACAGGTACCAGGCCAAAAGCACTCTACAAGACAGGTGCTTTTAAGCCAGAGGCATTAAGCAATGGATTTCAGTCTCTCCCTCTCAGAGCTCTCCTGATTCCTCCACAGGCCCCACATCAGTGACGGGCAAGGCGCTAGCTTCACTGTGAACCATGTACTTTCAATGAGTCGTGGCAAATAGGCCGCTGTAAGGAGGGGTGGGAGGGAGCACTCTGGGTGCCAGCTGACAAAGTCCTCATCATCTTCAGAGAAAGCCCAGTCATTTCAGAGATGAGGTGCCTCAGTCAGCATGGGGTCAGGTTCTCTTCCTTTTTCTCCTCTGCCTGGTAAGCCAGGCAGGTAATCGGGTAGTTTGCGGAGAAGTGGCACACTAGCATGGCAAAGCCACAGGTGCGTCCGTGAACAGAAAGGGAGACTCACTCCACTGGGATACAACACAGCTTTCAGATTTCATACTTGTAAGATGCCAGTGTTCCTCGGAGAAGGTGACAACTAGGCTAATGTGCAACTTCACATCTCTGAAAAGTAAAGGTTAAAAAACACCAAAAAGAGGACAAATAAAAAAGTGCTTCATGAGAGCAGAGGAATTTATATTCTCATCCCCTAAGCCCAGTGCCTAGAAGTGTGCCCATGTCCACAGATGAAGCCCTCTCTCTAGCCTGAAAATGTACAAACACAGAAAGCAGACAAAAGCTGAGTAACTAGAATAATCAGCAATAAAATCAGGAGGATCACCTCCAGCTAAGTCTGCCTACAAAGTGGACTGGAAACGAGGGCAGACCTGCCACTAGGTGGCCAGAAGAGCTGGTGACCAAGGACTTTGGAGCCATCAGAGGAGCCAGGGCACAAGGCTGTTGTCTTATAGCGTGAATGACTCCCTTCAGGAGACCCATGCAGCGCACCAGGAACTAACCCAGACCTCTCCATCTCATAGATGGTCGTTAATGCTGGTAGTTCCTCATTAACAGAACAGGATAAAGAAGAAAGAGACTGAAGGCTTTATATTAGTAGTCAGGAATCTCTTTAACGTGGGAGGCATATGCCAACGTGGTCAGCCCAGCATTTTCTTTCTCTAGAGATAGGCCATCTTTGTAGTGCATTGTTGCCCTAAAAGATCTGCAAAGGGGGACACCTGGGTGGCTCAGCGTTGTTTGATCCCAGGTTCTAGGGATGGAGTCCTGCATCGGGCTCCCTGTGAGGAGCCTGTTTCTCCCTCTGTGTCTCTGCTTCAGTGTCTCTCATGAATAAAATAAAATAAAAACCTTAAAAAAAAAAAGATATCTGTAGAAGTTTTTGACTCCTTGGCCATAATCTGGCAGCCCCAGAACCTTGTGTAATTTTAGCACCTGTAAATAGGGAGTACTTAATTATCCAGATGGAGGTATTAAAGGTGCCAATTTACTTTTTAATAACCATGAGATTAATATTGGCCTCTGAGAATTTTAAGAACATTGGATCCAACCTTTCTCCCACACATACCCATACATCTTTGCCAAAGGAACCACTGAAATATTCCACACTGCATCTGAGAAAGGTGATCTCACAGTCCAGAAAAACAAATGTCTTCTTTCCAAGTTACCAATTTTGATACCATTTACACTCTGGAAAAGAAGCACCTTCCCTTCCCATCTTCCTATTGTTAAAAGGAAAACTTATTTTAGCTAAAACGAAAAATCACAGAACATTTTGTTAAAAAATGTGCTTACCTTTTACTTGGCCAAAGCAGGCATTTGTTGAGGAGATGAGATTCTAGAACACATTAGATGCTGAATATGTATGACAGAAAACTGCCTGGGACAGGCTCAAAATAAACCCTCCCAGCTTCCTTCCTACAGAGGCAATGTTGCAACCAAGTGTGACCACTGTCTGAACACAGAAATCTGCATTTGTACTTTCATCTAAGATCCTTAAAACCAATTTTTAGCAAGATTCTAAAACTGCATATTTTATTTTAAGACCAAGTAGTCCGAAGACATGGGAGAGGTAGGACTTCACTTCTGGAAGCCAGATGACACATTACAGAGGCTGTGCCATCAGGAAGGTACACACTTACTGTACAATGGGCATGCCACTTGTGCTGACATGCAGAACATCTATACAAAAACATTTACTTTTTAAAAGTGAATCTTACACCCAATGTGGGGCTTGAACTCACGACCTGGTGATGAAGGGTTGTAGGCTCTGCCGACTGAGCCAGCCAAGTGCTCCCAAAACAAGATTTCAAATTGCCAAGGACACCTAAAATTTTACCTAGTGCCTATGAAAAATGCTTCATCGGGCTTAACAAGGCAGAGAACTCTCTTAAAAGGCAAAAGTCAATCTATGCGGTCACATAAGTGTAAGATATAAGTGGGCCAGCTGGCTAGCACGGTGCTAACCCCCACACATTGTGCACAGAAGCCATCTGATGCGCACACACTGCCAGCAGGTTCACATGATGGACTTCAGTGGGGCTGGGCTCCTGACATGGATTAGTCATCCCCTTCCTTTGTTCATCTTTAGTGTGCCAGTGTGGTGGTGGTGGCGGGGGGGCGGGGGGAGAGGGTCGCAAGTGCTAACCACAACCCTGGAGGGAGGTGGCCAGGGGCCCCAAGTATGCTGACCACCGGGGAAGTCCTCCGTTCCCCTCTAAAAGAGCCGGGAAGGAAATGCCTCCTGGTGGCTTCCCACTGGACTTAATTAGAACTATTCTTTACTCCACTTATAAAGCACATTTTACCCAAATCACTTTTTAAAGATTCTATTAAAATCAAAGCAGTACCTAAGGCCAGAGTGAAGGTGGTTTCTACCATGAGGTGACCTTTCATAGGACTTGAACTCAGGCCACGGCCCAAGTGCAGCAGGCCTGTGGGTGGGGCACTGGGAATGCCAAGGGCACAGAGCAGCAGCCATTGTTCTGTTCTGGAGACACAAAAGGGGAGGGGCAGAGGATGGCTGACTCCCACCACAGCTGTGACACTGCTGAGGACAGATGAGGCTCAAGTTTGAAACCAAGCCAACAGTGGAAATTGAATAAAGTGCTTCGTTCTTAAGTGTGATTCATTCAGAGTAACATGGTGCTAAATCTTCAGGGACTGAGACAAAGCAATGTTATTCCCATGCAGTGTCCTCTTAATCTGGATAGTTAAAACCATTTACTGTACCCAAAGTCAAAGTCACGTGTCTGTAACACACGAAATTAAACTAGAAGGAACTAAATTAGACACTTACTGCTGGGAGGCCCTGGATTTCCTGAATCTCATTCTCTACTTCGATGTATCAGTTAACAGGAGTCTCCCTCCTCCTAGGTCAAGGGTGGTCAGGACCGATAGTGCAGTATAGAAAGTGGAGATTCTTTAACAAGAAGTTCATTCTAGGGAAAAGTGTGCTGAGAAACGCCTCACTGCTAATTTCAAACTGAGTCATGCTGCAGACAGCTTTCCTAAAAGGTGTTTTTAGGAATTAAATACCTATGCATTATGTAGGAGTCTCTAATATCACTAATACACCTACATGAGTAAGAAAACCGTGACATCAATCTAACAAGAGCCCTGGTGACAACACAGCCTGCTTCCCTACAGCAACTGTTTCCAATGACAAACTAGGTCTCTGGCTCAGCCTGTAGCTCACACTACCTCTCCCCACTCAAAACTCTGGGGCTGCCCCCGAGACAATTCCTGGTTACACGAGTGAGCTCTATCTCACGGATGGGACCGGCGTTCCTCCCTCATCTTCCCTGGTAATTTGGACGAGTTTCCAAGGACCACAGACATACAAGTAACTGCACTGTGACTCACACCTGAACCATCACAGAACAGCCATCACCCAGAGACGTGTCATTCCGATTCGAGCAAACGGTTGATACGTGGGGTGGAGAGGGGGCCAGATGAACAAAACCCCATTTTATGCCAAATCATTTTTAATCAAAATCAACCGCTTAAGTAACATCTGGATTTTACTTGATGCTTGAGTTCACGGCCACAGACTAGGTCTGCTCTGGCAGGAGCGGATAGGACACTGTTGTGAATGGTGGCACAAGGGCCTTTCAAGCTGGACCACACTTGTGGTACAGCCTTCTCCCACAGGGCAGCCTCCAGCCCAGCAGTACAGAGTGAAGCTGAGCTCTTTTCCAAGGGAAAATCATGCCAATTATCTTAAAATATTTGAAAATAGTTTACTGAAAGCAGAGACAGAGGCTACTTTCTGTGAAGAGCAGAAAACTTTCAGACTCAGGATTCCAATGTAAAAAAAGTTAAAAAATAAATTTCACAAGACACACCTTAAAAAGTTGGCTTAGCCAGAAAAACTTCTGGAAAGAACTGCTTTTGTGAACATAAATTGCACACTAAAAACACTAGTGTGACATTTTAAGCTGTACAGAGACAGGCTAGATTTTCATTATTAAGGTCCAAGCCATGCAGTGATACAGCTCAGACAGGATTCCTGACACCTTGTACTGGGGAGGAAGGGAGAGACAATTTTAAACTCTTTTAAGTACTTTCATGTGTGAAGTTATTCAAAAGTATTTTATATGCATGTATCAGGAAAAAAATACTCTGGCATGAGAACCAAAAACTTACCTACAAAATGAGTAATTCAGAATTAGCAAAAACTTAGACTCACACATTTAAATAGCAAGTCAAAATGAGATGCCAGAAATTAAGTGAAGGTGCACTAGCAGCAGGTCTTGAAATGCATACTAGAACCCTATCCAAGAATGCAAGTAACAGGCAGACACAGCTTCCTTCAAAAAACTCAAGGCAGCTGGGGAAAATCCTGATTAAGAGGTGACTGCCCCAACCCCCACTCATGGCCTAAGTATGTAATGGTAAAATGGAAAACACTTGCTTTCCCCCAGAGGGAAGGAGCCAGGCAGCGGTGGGCACCTGTCTGTGCTCACAAATATTAACTGACACACACGCACGCATGCTCCAGGGACCATGCGGTCACCACCTCCGGTGAGGAGACCGGATTTCTCCTACAGGCTCTGCATGTGGACAGAGCGAGTGAGCCTTGGGACTGCGGGACTTTTAACACCAGGCTCTGGCTGCCTCCTCTTCTGACCTGGCGCCAGGCTGAGCAGTGGGAACAGGCCATTTGGGAAAGCTGCACAGAAGTTTCATGGGCAAAATATCCCTCTCATGCTGGTCAACCAAAAGGAGTCCTTGTCTGGAGGGAGTAAAATCCCCTCAACCCCTACCTACCTGTAGGATTCTTCAAGCCCAATCTATGTAGTAATAAGGTTGAGAAACTTAAATTCAAGTTTGAGGAATCCTTGGGAAGTCTTTTTTGGACACTTCAACACTGAGATACTGGTCAACCCGACTGAACTGAAACCTTAGAGACTGGTTTTAAAACCTCTTTGGTACACTTCTGTCCTTCCTACACTACCAGGTAAGAATTTAAGATCTATGCTGTAACACATGTGGACATGGTCACATGCAGGATTCCTACATGAAGGCACAGGGAAGATTCCAGATTAAACCAGGTGCCAAATGGATGAAAAGACACTATTTTTAAAAAGTAGATGCTCTTAAAGGGCTTTTAAAACACATTAGAAAGAAATATATTGGAACATGGTATGAATAACTGACGTTGCTGAACAGTACTTCACCATCAAGGACACCCCTTCTGAAGGACAGATATACCTTCACGCGGTTTGTGCTTATGATCATTCTAGCACACACCATTATACGATTTATAAAGGTATAAATTTGGTAAACTATACTACGTTTGACTTCATACATTCATTCCTACAAAAAAGTCACAAGTTTTTATAGTGACATAGTATTTTAAAAAGTAGGTAACACAATTCTATCACCTTTATAGTAACAAGAACCCATTTTCATCTGGATGCAAATGTTAAACTGAAAAGGTACAGCACTGGAAAGAGGATAATGCTGACCCCCATGATGTATGTACCGACCCCCATGAAGTGTGGTCACCTGAAACCTCCAGCTGCTCAGCTTTTCCTCATGCTATCCTTGTGTAGCCAAGGGCACAACTTTGTACTTATGCTCAGCAAATCCTGTCTGCGCTTGTGATCTCACTCCCACCTCCTCTCAGTGCCCCGGTCTACGTATGCTCTGTGTTCTCATGAAGGGATTACTTCGTCTCAGGAGGTATCTTACATGCAGGTGTATTTTTTCTCTACACAAAGGGGAGGTGTGTTTCCATCTGACTAGGTGACCCTGTTTTGCAAACTCCGAAGTTATCTGAAGATAAGGTGGGAAAATACTTATCAATAACTTACCTTCGAGATTTATCCTCACATCACATGGACACCCCAGGTCTCGCTGTGACACACACGCTATACTGTGGGTGTGGAGACCAGCTGAGGCCAGAGCACAGTGCATGTGGAGCAGCGCGGCCAACCTCTCCCTGCCCAGACGTGAAACTGTGTTTTGCTACCAGACCAGCAATGTTATTATTCATAAGCTCGGGAACATTCACAGGAAACAAACAAAAATCAGGCACAGTGGCAGAATTTTTTAATAATTATATTTCAAGCAGGTACAAGAAAAAGAGAAAAATCTTCCTACTTCATGGCAGAAAACCTGGGTGTGCAGTTATATACACACATTTCCATCTGAGCTGTCAACACGGCCCTCCTGGCCGCTCCCCTTTTGTTAAAGGGCCCATCTTCCAAGTGGCCATACGGGGAAAGTGCCACCACCACTGCACCAGGATCCTCCGGCACAGTACCCAAATGACGGTCTCATCTCGAAGGCGCCTCCAGCCGTAAAAGAGAGCACACGTTACAGAAAGGAGCAGAGTCCGCCCCCCTCCTGCCCACAAAGGTGTCTCACCTTCAGTTCTAGCCTTCTTTACTCCAAAGGGCTCTGGATCTTCCAAGCATCTCTTGCGATTTGCGCCAACACTAGTGTGATTAGGGAATATATTCTGATGGCCCCCATTTATGGTGCCATTATCATAGAAACGGCTCAGGTGACAATTCTGCAGGTTCAAGAGAAACTGGGTGCACTCTTGGAAACCCTGGGTTTGAGCAATGTCTGCTGCCGTCAGGCCACTGGCATTTCTCAGGCTGTATGACACAAAAACACAGAATTACACCCCGCCGGCATCCTCGCCTGCTCTCTGCTCCTGCTGACCTGACTGACTATCTCAAGGGGATGGCAAGAGAATACAGATTTACAGCAGGTCTCCCTTACAGGGGAGCTCCTCATCCTGGCTGCATAACTAACTGTGCTCTTACGCACATCTCATTACTAAGCAAGATTCGGGCAATAGGCATTTAAAATCAACACACTAAACTTTAAAAAAGGAATCTTCCTGTTTAACTTCTCAAAATCATTTTTTAGGTGAGTCTGAAGAACCTAAGTTTACACCAACTTCAGACTTAACCCGAAACTGAGGTCTATATTATCTGCATAATTGTAATAATCCATTCCTTTAGCTTGAGTAAAATCATAACAAACAAACATGTACTGAAATTGTCCATGGCATTCATGACAATCGGCTTCCTAGAAGCAGCGCACCGATAAGCCAGATTTGTGCTAACACGTGACACTGTAAGTGGAAGTTTAGGATGCCCTGACATGAAGATAAGTGATCATCGGGCTGGAAGGCTGAACAACTCAGTGTGTGTGTGTGTGTGTGTGTGTGTGTGTGTGTCTATGTTATGTTGTGTGCTGTCCCTCAGGAAAGCCTGCAGCGAGTGGTTGGACACCCTGGCTTTTTAGAGCATCTGCACAGATGTTACTTGAGCAGAGCCTCCTGACAGGGCCCTGGGGGCCCAGTACCCCATGATAGCCGGCCACTCTAACAGGTGATGGTTGGGGTCTCCTACGGCAGGAAATGCCAGCAGAAGGTGAAGTATTCCAACCACACGAATATGAAAGAACCACCATACAACTCAATTAGGAAATATTAAAGGAACACAAGTGACTCCCTGTTGAAATTCCCCTGAACGACCAGAAAAAATAGCCTGCCCTGTGAAGTCAGTCTGCAAACCAGTGAAAGAGACAGACAGGCTGATACACTGAGAACACAAGCACCAGATAGGGGCTGGCTCTTGTGCCTGCGCTGCCACGAGGCCACAGGCACGACCAACACAGGCCTTACAGCGTCACCGATAACCAATGCACAACATGTGACGCTTGCTTCCCAGGGCGATGTTAATGCAAAAGCCACTTCAGGAGTAAAAACCACACATTAGGGGGACACAGGGATTTCCTGTGAAGACAACAGTAAGCCATATACTCCCAGCTCTAGCCCGCACACTCATAAAGCTCTATCCTCAGAAATGAAAAATCTGTGTTATTTGTGGATAATTGCTAAACTTGTCTCTGCTCTTTAAAGCGTGAGACAAATAAATATTACATATTCCAAAGAAAGAAAGGTGAAAGCCCAAACTCAGTTTGAGCAGATATAAAAGAAACCAGACTTGAGAATCCCAGAAACCAACAATATTTTTTTAAAAATATAAGGCAATTGTGTGCAGAACTAATGAGGACTGACATTCTGATTTCACGGCTATGAATTTGGAGGAGTATTCTTCTACAACTGGGCCTTATTTTTATTGTGCTGTATAAATCAAATGGAAAGGAAATGTCAACGTTTGGGCAGAGTGAATTATATTAATTACATACATTTAAAATGACCATACACTTACAGTTTCTGAAATCATCATGCTATTGATATGCCAACACTAAACTAAGTTTTTGACTGGATGAGCTTTCAGGGGCTACCCGCAAGGGTAGCTGTCCAGAATGATCTACTCTATCAAGAATGTGGACAGGGTAATAGGTAGCCACATGAAAAAAAAAATCTAATTCTTCAAAATTTGGAAACATGAAGACCTGGAACACACACACAGTTTATAAAATGATCACTTCATACAGAAATACAGAGTTGGTCTCGGAAAGCAGAGGACACAGAACTAAGCTGACAGGGAACAGAAGTCTTTGGTAGATCAGAGAAGGATGATGAGCAGCACACACGGTTTAAACGGCATCTGCGGTCATAAAGGTCACCGAGGACAACACAGAAGTTTAAGGAGCAGCCAATATTCTCAAGTCATGGAAGATGAGAATTTCCAAAATACCCTCAATGCTTCACTTTCCATCCAGAAACAGCATGCCAGACTGGACTCGGATTAGAATAACAAGTTTACTGTTTTCCCAAGGAAAGAGATCTTAAAGAAAAATAAGCAACAAACCAGTGCCAACATCTGGAGGCTCTGGAGACTACAGGTGTTTGACCTGGGCTGCGTGCTGAAACCACAGACAGGCCAAGTGAGGGCTCCCCCACCCATGTACACACACAACTGCACTATATGTTTCCATAGAGCATCAAGTATCATCTTCGAACCTAAACAAGAGAAGGACCTCAACTCATACCCCTTGCTCCCCAGTACAGCCCAAGCAAGGATGGACGGTCACAGGCCAGGCTGAATAGGTGCTGGTTCTGCACATACCTTTGCAGGACGGGACAAGCCAAGAAGTGAGAGTGATCAAAAAGGGAGATCAAAACATTCTAGAAGATGTGGGGGCAGAATCTGGGACACATAGTGGCTGTGGAAGAATTAACTGGGAGCTAATAACTGTGGCATTGTTCCTACAGTGTTACCAGAAATGGGGACACACACTATCTCTGCCCCCAGGAAGCTATGGGAGATTTCGACTTGAGCAGACCCTTGAACAATGATGGGCTGGGGGTACCAACCCCTGTGCAGTCACAAAACCACATGTAACTGCTCACTCCCCAAAACTTAAGTACTGAGAGCCTACTGTCATCCAGAAGCAGCTTTACTGGTAATACAAAGAATAACATACATTCTGTGTGCTATATGTATTATATACTCTATGCTTACAATAAAGTCAGCTAGAGAAAAGAAAAATCACAACTATAGTATGTACTATATTTATATACATATATAAAAAAATCCACGTATGGATAGAGGTACACAGCTCAGACCCCCATTGTTAAAGGGTCAACCATACATTCCTTCTCTTGTCACTAAGGACTGAATGTACAAAACATGGTTTAACAGCATTTATCCTCTTCTCAAGCAGAAGATCTCTTAATACCTGATTCTGGCACTCACCAACAAGACCTCCCCCCCCACCCCCCACTTACGTACCTTCATTGTCTACCCTGCCAAACATCCACTCCCTAATTCTCCTCTGCATACACTAGAGAATGGCTAAGTGGCTGCTCTGGAGCAGAATGCTCAATGCAAAAACTGTTCAATGCAGAAACTGGCTGGAAGGGTGCAATGGGGCGTGCTTATCCCAGCAGCAGGCACTTTCCCTATGAATGGCTGGATGCTAAGGACTGCAGACTCTCCAGGTCACACTTCCGCTCACAACTACTCAGGTCCGTCCTCTCAGCCTGAGAGCAATCTCGGACAACATGTAAACACTACAGTATGGCTACATTATGGTGAAATTTCATTCGTGGACACTAAAATGAGAATTTTATATAATTTTAGCTTGTCACAAAATAATTATTCTTTTGATTTTTGTTCAACCCCTTCAAGGGGGTAACCATCATTCTTAGTTTACGGGTCATAAAAAACCAAGCAGCAGATTGGGTCTGCTGAATAACACGTAACGAGTAGATGGTACTAACTCAATTTTTATTTATTTTGTTTTTGTTTTTTCATTTATTTTATTTTTTAAAAGATTTTATTTATCCATGAGAGAGACACATAGAGAGAGGCAGAGACATAGGTGAAGGGAGCCTAATGCAGGACTCGATCCCAGAACTCCGGGATCATGACCTGAGCCAAAAGCACATGCTCAACCACTGAGACACCCAGGCGTCCCTAGTCCTCAATTTTTATGAAACTTATCTGTCCATAGGTTCCTCAAAGCTGTTTTTCCAGAAACTTTATTTACTACTTAATTCAAAAAAACAACTTTTAACAAGTCACCAAACCCATTACGTCATAGAATATTACATACCAAGACAACCATCTATAGTGTACTTTAGCCCCGAAAGCACGTGGAAACGAGTGAGACAGATGGTGATGGTCTCCGCTCCACTTGGGTGTTTTCTGCTGAATGTCCTGGGTCCCACAAGCAGGGAATGTTTACTGAGAGCAAGGTGAATATGATCTGTAGAAGTCTGGATTCCTCAAGCCCCTTTCTTATAGTTTAATAAGAGGAGACTTGCAAGTGTATCAGAGCAGCTCAAACTCATGCGGGTTTCCAAGTCAAAGACTAGAATAAAAGAATCATTAAGTGGACTCGGTATTAAAACCTGAACTTCTGACAAAAGGGGGTTGAGGTCTTTTAATCCTTTTTTCACACATGCTTTTCCTACTTGTTCGAGTGTGCTTCAATTTTGATGTTTGAAGAGCTGACACAGTAATCCTGGTGAAAATATACCATCAACTTATTAAGCCTTAAACTTTTGTGTTCCAAGTTGAAATAGATATTAACACTAAGCTCCCCCCTTACCTTCCGGTCGGTGGCAGTAGCTCAGGGGTGTGACCGCGGGCTGGCAGGGGGCAGGGCAGTTCCCCATTCCAGCGCTGCTTTGGGTCTGCCATGGCACTTTTTCTGTTTATTTATTTATTTGTAAAGATTTACTTATCTTAGAGTGTGCAGGAGGGGCAGAAGGAGAGAACCCCAAGCAGAACCCCTGCTGAGCACAGAGCCCAATGTGGGGCTTGATCTCAGGACCCATGAGTCACAACCTGAGCTGAAAGCAAGAGTTGGGTCACTCAGTGGGCTACACCACCCAGGTGCCCCTGGCACAGTACTTTCTAGAGAGCCAAGGTTTCACCCTTTGGTCCGTGGCCTTGATCACTATGCTCAGTGCTCCCATCAAGCTTAGGTATAGTGTCAGCACAAATGTCGATCTTAGCTGCAGTCTCCACACACTAGGCCAAAGTCCAAGTTTTAAAGTATCTGAAAGAAATTATTCAAAAGTACTCTGAAAACTTATTTTGCATGAAAACTGGGGCAGTAATGACAGCATATATATTATGTTTAGCCTAATTAAAAAAAAAAAGTATACTTTTAAACTTAGCATCTTCAGTGTGATGTACATTGGTGAATGCAGACTATGCAT